ACACACACACACACACACTTCATTCACCTCTTTCTCCTTCTTCTCTGTTAATTTTTATAGCCTTTTGTTGCTATGTTTCACATACCTAATGTATACATGCTTTTCCCTTTTGTCTCTGCTTAAATTCGGTAGTAAGGGAGTTGATGCAACAGCCGATTGCACTGATACTGTATATTATTCATAATTTAGATTAAACTCACTCTAACGGCATCCACACAACCAGTCCCTGTAGACGATATCAGCCTGTGTCCATGGCCACATAAAAGTTGCTTTTTATGAAAAGACAAAAAAGGAATGAGAGAGGTTCAAGTAACAGACGGACAGTGAATGAATGAGTGAACAGTGTGATAAGTCGGGCATTTGGTTTCTCCTCACTTCTCCCAGCATGATGCTTGCCATTGGCTAGAACTCAATTATATCCATGGGCTCACTTGTATTTGTCTGGTGCTCAGCTCAGAATGTAAGCTCTCGTGTTGTTTACAGACTGTATAACATGAACTGATTGACCCCTTTTGTGTAAGGCTTTCACTATGTTTACTGTTTCTCACAAATAGCACAATATTATCGATTATTGTAACACTTGTACACACACACACACACACACACACACACACACACACACACACACACTATACTGTATGCTGTATTTCACCAACCTGTCAGACCTACAGTAGGCATTTGTAGACAGGGTTCATTATACTCACATTAATCAGTGAATAACTTACTAGTAATGTGGGTTAATCTGACTTTCCCATCATGTCTGGATTAGTGTGTAATGAGACAACTGAACTAAACTATATGTAATAAAAGTAGTATCTCCCATTAAGATAATCTTTATTATCACTGTACACAGATGTGCAGTGCATTCCCTGAGCACATACGGTCACATAGTACAAGACAGGACAAACATGTTAAAACCATAAATAACATAAAATCAACTTAATAGAAAAAAATCACCCATGGGGCACAGATGGGTATCTGTCTGTGTTTCTGGGGTAGGGGGAAGGGTGGTGTTTTTTTTATTGTTTACAGTTATAAAGCCTTAAAAAAATCCTAAATTATTCAGCTCTGCTGTTATCATGTGTTTGCTAATTGCTAGTTCCTCTTTGTTTAATCTGAGAATCACTGGTATTGTTAATTAGACTTTTCCTTGTCCACTCAAATAGATTATGGCTGGATTTATACGCTATGCCACAAATTTATTTTAGATTTAATGCAGAATCATTTCTAACTTGTAGAGTGAGTAACATGGGGGAAAAGAAACATACTCACACTGCATCTTGTAGTTGGACAGTAGACTGTATGCTTATCCTTTTCCCCTTCTCATCTCTGTGCCAAGCCTCAGGAACACAGTGCCCACCTGGAATAGTCTGGCCTTGCTCCCTGGCCTGCCCTCAGGCTCTGCACTGTATGCATGAGACAAAGAAAGAGAGACAAGTGTAGGAAAACTGTGCTCTGTGTCTAGTAGTAGGAATTTGTATTCAGGGTCCCTCCTCTCACATAAAAGAATCTCTCTATGCCCTTTTTAGGTATGGAAAAGCAGGCTGCAGCTTTTCATTGCTTTTTATGTCCTGAAATGCTCTCCTGAAATAGAACTAGAAGATGTAGCTGTAAGATGTCCAGTTGTTTTTATCTTGACGTGCTTTCAAAGTCCTGTCTTTTGGATATGACTAGAGAAATGACAACAAAGCCTTTTTTGAGTTTATTCTCCATTTTCTGTCAAAGCTGCAGTCGACTTGAGGCAAATTGTAAATCCTGAAAAGAAGAGTACTTTAGTGTTTTACCTTTGTGCAGTCAGAACAAATGCTTACTTGTGAATGAGGAAGCAAATGAGCACAGTAACCTAGAGTTGTTGCATTTACATGAATTCAGCTGGTGGAGCTCAAATCCGGGGATACAGAAGCTGATTAGGTCTACCCCTGGGGGATTAATCATGTTTTCTGTCTGTCTTTTAAACAAGAAATTACTGCATATCAACCTGTTAATTAAAGATTATACATAATTTTGTGCAATACCTCTCGCTCACTGAACTGTACTAGCTACAATTGCTCTCGCAGATAGAGTGCATATGCAGTATCTTTTACACATTTGTTCAGATACACTTAAATAAAACCTCCGCTTTCCTTTTTCTGACAAAGTTATAACATGTTTGGTTGAATATATTGGGGTGTGTGTGACCTTTCTTTTGGTTAAAATGGTATTGTTGTCAGGTTTGACTACCAGACAACTACCACCTGATTTTTTTAAATGCATTTCTGTATAGTGTTGTGAGCAGCTTATTGCCCATAGCAGTCTAGAAAAAAGAGTGATTAGATAGATTGTGTTCTGCTACACACAGTCATTTCAAAAGTCCTTGAATATTTCTGGCATTGTCTATCTTCTCGTCCTTTGGAAAAAGGCATAATATGACATGTTACTCATTTTAATTTTGATTCCTTTTCATTTTTTTAGGTGGAACACTCTTTTAATTACCTGGAGATCCAGGGGATTGCATGTAACAAGCCTACACAGGTAGAGAATCTCATACATTCTCAGATTACAAAATACCACAAAATGTACTAATTCTCAGACTGCAATGTTTGAGAAATTGTTTGGGAAGTAGACCTTTTTCCTTTCTTGAGAGCTAAAGGAAACGATCTATACCACTTTCATGTCTTTATGTGGAGCTAGAGCCAGCAGGTCATTGGCTTAGCGTAAAGACTTGACCTTAAGGAAACCATTAACCTCTGTTCAGAGGGTATGACCACTGTACCCTCCCCTCTACAGCACGTAACTCTGCCTAAAACCACAAATCGTCTTCTTTAAATGGCTTCAACAAACAAGATGCATCCTAATTGATGAGCTTTTGAGGAACTGTAGGCCTTTTTCTAAACTTTGGACAGGACTGAACTTGCTGTTGCCTTGTACAGTATTTTCAGTTTTTATGCTAAATTAATCCCCAGCTAACTCGGGCTCCATAATAAGTGCACAGCCATGAGAATGTCACACTAGTTCTTTATATTGTACATAACCAGGTTAAACTAGTTTCTCTGATTGTGTACACCTTTCACTGTATCTATTGTACTCTTATACAGTGTACAATTATGCAGTTTTTATGCATTTAGAAGGTTGAAGCAGAGCATGTAAATATGTGCTCAGAGAGAGCTTGCTTTTGGCTTTTTGAGCAGAGCTGGCTAGCTGTCAAATCAGCAGGCTCTACCTACAAATTATGATAATCCATGACTCTCCACACAGTTCCTGCAGCTGAACGTCTCCCCTACTCCTTTTGAGATGTGTCAGTCGTCTTAACATCTTGAAAGGTGGTCTTCTGTTCCTACGATTATGTAAATTTTGGCCTATAGAGGAGGCACGTATGGCCTTAGATGGAATAGCTAAGTGTAACTCTGGCTGAAGCAGGTGTAGGTGGAACCACGCTGTTGTTGTGCTTCACTAATCAGTGATGTCTCCTTGTAGCTGCTGATAGAGTATGAGCGTGGCTCCTTCTCTCTGAAGCTGATCTCCACAGAGGAGGTTAATGAGGTAGTCGCTCACATAGGAAACTGTCTTCTGAGGATATGTCCTGGTCTACCGCCTAGGTGAGTTTAGCCAGTCAAGGCTCAGCTGCTTGTTTTTAAGGGACAAATCATGCAGTTATCTCATTTTACTGTATTAACATGTTTATTTTGCCTGTCACAAGTATCTCTAATCTGTGTCACTTTGAGGATGAGAGCTATAGTATACTGTATTTTATGTCCAAAAACTAAGATACGTGTATTGTAATGCAGATGTGAATCTCATTTAGTATGTTTTTGTTGAGAACAGGAAGTGTGAATATAAATGCAGATGTAAAATCAGAAACTTGTATCACCTTGCTTTGTGAACAGGACAAAGCCTTGACTGAGACTCACAGCTGATTTTAATGCTGTTAGATGTGAAGTTTTGTAGTTCAGTCAAATTTGTTTAGTCTTAATTCATATAATTGGGGTACTTAACAGTACAGTGCTTGCTTGAATTATGTCCACTGACCAGTAATTAACTGAGAAAGTATCCTGGTGCTGCCTGATTGAAAGTCATTTAAAAGCAGTGTTGCTGGTGAAACGTATCCTCCACTATGGATGAACAACAGGATGACTACATTATGCTCTCTTCTCAGTAAAGTGATGAAGAGGCTCTGCATGGAGCCTCCAGACAGGCTGACC